GGCAGCATGTGTCAGTGAGAAGCACACTTGCAAAGGAAGGTGGCCAAACATCTGGGTAGCCTTGATTTGTGACAACCCACTCTCAAGCTACCTAGTCCAGTTCTGGGGAATTCACTCTTTCCTGTGGGACTTCACTCATTCCTGTTGGGTGAGCGTTAATCCTCCTGACGGTATATTCCCATCAGTTGATGTCCCTAGTGGGACCTACCTCTTAAAACTTCCACCATGCCTCATTACTATTACTAGGGACCAGCTTTCCAGCATATGAACCTTGAGGGGACAAATGATATTCAACCCCTAGCACAAAATATGGTTAGAATAGCTCAGGGAGCTACCAGGCTGTTTGATCTTTTCAGATTCCTGCCCTGGGAGACCTTGAGAGCCAGTGTCCATCAGTGTAGGTGAGATGGGTTGGCAGGGTGGGCACAGTGATCTCTGCATGTTCCCACTGGACCTCATGAACAGCTCTGGCAGTACTTTTGTGATGACTGAAGCCATAGATTCTTACAGGAACAGCTGGGCATTTCAGGGGCATGGGATAGAATTTGGTCATGAGTTCTTTTCTCCACATTACCTGGGCTTCTTTTTAATTATTATAGTATTAAATGCCTTACAGGGTCTCATCTAGGCAGTGTTGGAAGTGGTTAGTTGCTGTATATGTCACTGACAAAGGGAAAGAGTAGAATAGATGTGCTAATGTCCACCATCCTTGGCTTAAGAGGACACCACTCAGCAGTCTGGGAGACATTTAACAAGGGGAATGTCCTTGAATTTCATCAGTGAGACAAGTAAAGACAGTGTCTAGGACCTCTGAAAGAATCCTGGTGCTTCCTCCATTTGGGCTACAGGACCAAAAGCAAGCACAGTGCTGAACTGCCTAGTTACAGCTGGTGCCACAACAACACCCTCTTCTTGTGAGGTATGGAAGATATATACACCACCCTCTCTACCTTATGGGTCCCCAACAGGCTGTGTAGAGAGTCCTTAGTCACAGGTGTCCAGTGGGGCATCACTTCACTGCAAACATCACAAGGAAATGACTTGTTGTGTCCTCAGAAAGAACCTGTTTCAGAGAAAAGTCCCCAATTCTCTCTGCTGCTGCAGAGCAAAGAAAAAAGGGACTCCATGGGACCCAGGAGACCACACAGCAGCAATGACATCCTGTCTTGAGGGAATATGAAGGTAACCCTGGACATAAAAATGTGGGCAGGAAAGAGGGTGGAAGGTGGCATGGGTGTCTTCTCTAAAGAGCTCATATTCTAGACTTGAAGTAGAATAGACACTAATGCAAGGAACAGTGTATTCCTGCTGAACCTTGGCATGCTAAGGATCTATGGCCATCTATATGAGACATCTATAGATGTCATCCTGTGGGCTGAAAGATAGACACACAGTCCAAGTGGGTGTAGCAACCAGGGCAGTGGACACAAAGCAACAGGACCACTGCAAGTTGCAGACAAGGAGCCTATGGCTCTCCTGCGCCCCTCTCCCTCCTCCCTCTGCTTGTGAGAGTGTCTGGGCTGGCTGGACCTGCCCTCCAGGCAACCAGCAGAGGGCAGCACGAGGTCATTGCTGACTAAGCTAGGGATTTCTAGGTTGCCTGGGAAAGTAGACTATGTCCATAGCCAACTTTCAAAATGAGCATTACTGCTTGTCTGGAATCCAGTGTGGCCCCAAGTTAATCTCTGGAGATGAATTGGATCTCACTTAAGGTTGAACTCAGATTAATTCACTCCTCTGTTCATTCATGAGCTCATTCGTCAGCCTTTAATTGAGCTCCTACCCTTTCCTGGACACTAGGTCTGCTGAGGTGAGTGGTGTAGCTTTGGAAAATTCACAGAGGCAGGGCTACTGCTAGTGTTGCATTATCTCTCCCCGGTGACAATCTTCTGAGGTGGGCACAAGTGTTATCCTAGCCTTACCAAAAAGAGCACCAAAGCACAGAGACTTAAGTGACCCGATGCAGGTCACACAGGTACAACATAGTGGAGTCAGAATTTGAACCCAGGCAGTCTGGCCTGGAAATGCTTACTCCTAATGACATTGTCACACTGTTAGAACTTAAACCAAATAAATGCCAGAAGTGATACCAAATATCTACAGCTGTTGAGAGGAAAGTAAAACTAAGAGGGAAAAGACCTTAAGGCTGCGGTTGGGGCCACCTTAACTTCACTGGTCAGATGAATTGGATGAAGGCAGTATCTAAGATTTTCACAAGATTATACTAGTGTCTGGCCAGTCACTGCTGATTCATGGCTACCTAGACACACTTACGGCCATTTACAGGCAGTTTGTATGTGACCAACCTGCAAACTCTTCACCCAGAGCCTCTGGAACATTCCAAAGGAAAGGGTAGACAGAGAGAGGTGTGGACATGGGTGGAAGAGGCCTGGATGAATTACCGGCAACAGGGTGCAGGGAGCTTCAAGCTTTGGGTCTGTTGGTTGTCATACAGACACTCAACACACAATTATATGGCAATTACATGAGCACATAAAGATGTACAACAGCCTGAGCACTGGTCACACAAGTGCCTGCGTGAGGCCTCATGAACCAAGCACCTCCTATATTCTGACAGCTCATCAGAGCTGTTCCTGTCTTAGCCCTATTCTGTAAAGTCACAGGAGGTGGTAAGAGCTTGGGATGTGTAGGAATGGGTTTGGAGCAGCAGCTGGTTGTAAGCTGGGGTGGGTTGGGAGGGAATGTTGATGGACAGATACTATAAGTAAAACTGGACCTCCTTTGCATCATGAGGGACCTCCAAAGAATGAAGAAATCCTGCCTCCTGACATGGATGAGAGGTGCACACAAGCCACCAGAGTGACTGTTAGTTCTTGGGTTGGTATTTCCAAACTTTGCCCAACATCTAGATCACTTGAGAGCCTCACAAAGGCAAGAGACTTTGGAGATTTTTTTAAACAGGGCCCAGAACAGCGTAAGAGTCCTCAGACAATGTCACGATTCTGGTCAGTTCTGCCAGCCACTGCTCCGAAGAGTCACATGAAGTGCATGGGCTACCAAAACAAGACAGGCTGGACCACATGCTGCCAGTGGCTAGCCTAGTCCTAGGTTTGTGTTTAGTTAAATGCCTACCTGAATTCTATTTCTTTTAAACGCAGCAGTTGTATCTGCCAGGACCAGACTGGTTCTGACTTAGGGACCTTCTCCCCACACAGGTCATTGCTTCCCAGTTGGTCTCTTGTCGGGTGCTCCTCTCATTTTCCCAGCAATCCATCAACCACTCAGGGTTACCAGGGTAACGTGCTTGATAGAACCCACTTCCTGGCATCTCTAGCCTGGGCCTCGGATGACAACAGATCTTTCCTGGCTAATGGTGTGTGTGTGGAAAAACCCCAAATTCCTGGTATTTACCAAAGTACAGATCGTTTGCATAACAGTGAGCAAACAGCCTTGTGGGTCAGAGGCTGTACAGGTCAAGCTCACGGCCTGGGCCCTGGTGCTGGTTGACCTCTGACAGGAACAGAGAAAGGAGCTTTCCTGGACCCAGACAGGAAGAAAGTTATCTTGTGTGAGTGACGAGCCTTCAGCTGGAACTTTATGTCCCCACCTCTGGCTGGAACACAGCCGGAAGTGGCAGTGGCAGAGATGAGGGACTCCAGAGAAAGACTATCCTGCTGAACAGGCTCTTCAATTCCGGGATGCAGAACGTGGGCTGGAACCCGGACCTTGAGTATCCCAATCTTTTAGTACCTGCTTCCCCTTTGTTACATGGCAAACCATGTCCCCAGTGGCTGTATTTCTACAGAAGGAAACTGACTCACAGACATGAATTTAAGCCCCAAGTCCCCATTTCCCAGGTAATATACACTTATGATTCTAACATCCTGCATAGGTGCTTCTTAAGCAGTCCCCAACACCTGTGGTTAAGCATCTGGGTTTGAAATGAAGCAGCAAATCATTCTGTTCTACATCACCAGTACTTGAGGTCTGAAGACATTTCAGTAATGTGACAGTTTAGGTGTGCTGGAAACCAAGGCACATGGTCCTGCCACCTGTACTCTGCTGGCCCTGGTGCCTTCCGTAGGTCCCAACCTGGTTCCCATAGCTGCTGGGAAGGAACACATCCTGACATTGACTGCTGAGCAGCCAACTTATCCATCCATTTGTGAATGTTTGCTGCATCCATTGAACAAACATTGGTCAACCACCAAGCACTTAATGACTAGAGTGCTTTTCCTGGTAGTTCAGAAACCAAGAAAAGTGAAATAGAAATGGACATGAACAAAGACTTCTCACTAAGTGAGAATGACTCTTAGCTCATTCGTGAAATGTTTTCTGATCTCACTTGTGAATGACAAGCAGCGAGAGCCAGCACTCAACTTCTTCTGGCTCACAGTACTTTGCTATTGAATCTCAGCTCCACCTACCCTTAGACAGCCGGAAAGCAAAAGTGCCATGGTCACACTGGATAGATCAAAACTTTGGGCTGCTCGTGAAGTAGGTCCAATGGTTGGCTGGCATCATTTGACCCTTAGGGCAAGAAGCTAACCATGGGGTCTTTCCTCTCTGTGCACTGGTAATGGGCCTAGTGATCCGTGATGAGAAGGTGTAGCAGTGAAGGAAAGGGATGCTGGTCAATGGGGACTGACGTTGATGAGATGGGCACCCCTTGAATGACCATGCCTCCTTCCATGCTGCTGGTACACAATATCAAACCTGTCCCATACACGGATGCAGGGAGAACGGCTGCTGTTCACTCTCTGGGTGCACAGTGAGTAAAGAGAGGACACAGCTACTCGGCGGGGTGTTCTTAGGACTGACAGTGGTTACTCACATGGGATATTTCCCTTCATTATGGTCAGGTAGACAAAGGGTGCCTGAAGCAGTACATGAACCCTAAAAGCCACAATCCTGTCACAGAGAGGACCTAGCTAGCCTATACCTGGGGTACACTGAGTATCCAAAAGTGTTAGCTCTCTTCCACTGCCCACCAAATATAGCTCCCCATGAAGGAACACACAAGAAGCAAGAATGCCTTGTAGACTGAGGGTGGTTTCAAACACTCGAGTTTGGCACCATTTAGTGACAACTCATGGAAAAAAGGAATCAGACCTTTTAGATGGCTGAGATCAGCTGCCACTGTGACATGGGTATGGTCCACCTTTAGTCCGTCATTGCAAAAGGAGTGGATTTACTGTAGCTTTCCACAGTTGACTCTGAGTCAATGCTGTGCCCCTAACAAAACAGGTGTGACCTTTGCCCTGTGCTTGACCAGACACTGGTGCCTCCTTATGTCCTCGTGCCGCAGCCAAATACATTCACTCTCCTCAAAAGAATCAGCTAACACTAAGCTTGAGAAACCAGTACTGAATTTTCTTAGGAAGCAACTGAGAGTTCAGAGAGGAGTTGGAGAAGCAGGAGGCACTAGCTTCCTCATGCCGGGAACTCACAAACAGCGATGAAGGAAGACTGGCATGCAATGTCATTCCAGATGCCACTCTCTGACATAATGACACAGTCCTCCCCCGAGCCATGGTCATTGGGCTCGTTCTGTTTCCAGTTGCTGTAGGTGAGCTTCCCCCCTGTCACGTACATGAATTGGCCTTCAGTCACCTCATCTGTGATGCCTATGAAGGCGTTGCCTTTGGCCACTTCTTGGATGGCCTTGTTCTCCTCAGCATTCCTGGGAATAGCCACATTGCCCCGGAGCCCGGCACACAGAGCCTTCACTTTGGAAAAGGGCATAGTTTCACGGTTGGTCACGAAGAACTTCTTCCCAGACTTTTTGCCCATTGAGAAGGCATGCACTGAAATCAGAGTAGATGAGGCTTACTCAGTGTGGGGCCCAGTCAGGACCTGTTGGAAAAGTCCTCTGAGAATTCAGGACTCAAAAAAGAAGTCTCGGGACCAATGACACTAGGCCAGGACCTAGGAAGAGGGTTGACCAGGAACAGCTACAGAGCCAGGGAAGGAGTCCACAACGCTCTATAAGAGCCTGGCCCTCCTGGGACAGCCCACCATTGGCACCAACGTCAAAGCCTGCAGCAGCACAGGTGAACACAGGGGGGCACATGTGGGCTCCACCACCCCATTTGGGCACCAGAATAAGAGAGAGGTATAATTACCAAGTAAAAACAGTGGTTGGGGAGCAAACTGCAAAGATGTTGGAGAAAACAGACATCCACCCTGCCCTTTCCTGCTGCTGTCTGTGAGCTGTATGATATGGAGTGAGTTGTTATACTTCCTGAAGTATAATAGCTTTTAAAAATAGTGTTTCTCTCTCTCTCTCTCTCTCTCTCTCTCTCTCTCTCTCTCTCTCTCTCTCTCTCTCTGTGTGTGTGTGTGTGTGTATGCATGTGTCAGTGCTCATGTGAAGGTCAGAGGACAACCTTCGGGAGTTGGTTCTCTTCTCCCACACCAGGTTTTGGGGATTGAATTCAAATCACCAGACTTGTGTGGCAGGTGCTTTTACCCACTGAGCAATCTCCCCAGTCCCAAGACAAGTATAATACCATAACCAGAGTTGGTAAAGAAATTGAATGAAATATTACAAGAAAGAGCCATGCCTGCACAGACCTGTGGTAAAATAAGTGTTCAGAAGTTTGACGGATCTATCACTCTCCGCCCCAACTCTAGATCCCTCTGTAGGAAAAAATGAGTGTGAGAAAATCATGGGGGATGAGGGAAAACTTACACTTCTTGGTGTGCTCCAGTTCTGATTTTAGGGTCCTCACCTCTGCCTCCAAATTCAGCAGCTTTGCTTCAATGGCTACAAGAACATCAGGAAAAGGCTACTTAGTGACAAGACTGTAAACTGGAGATAAGATACTGGAGGAGATGGGTACAAAGCTCACAGCCTGGAAAGAAAACTCAGCAGGCAAAGTGATTGCCATGAAAATACAAGGACCTATTTGATTCCCAGAACCTACATAAGAGCTAGACATGTAATCCCAGTGCTGGATGAGCACAGGCAGGTACAGACAGGTAGATCTCTGGGGCTTGCTGTCCAGCTAGCCTAGCCTACTTGTTAGGTTCCAGGCCTGTGAGAAGACCTTGCCTCAAAAAAAAAAAGGATTCTATCTTAAGAACAATACCTGAATTTGACGTCTGGATTACACACACACACACACACACACACACACACACACACACACACACACACACACACACACACACACGCATATATATTCCTCACATGTACTTGCACACACATGAATTTGTATGTATATGAACATTTTTATAGACACAAATGCTAAGGCTCACAAAAAAGTAAGCTTATTCCAGAAAACTATGAAAGCTAAAGAAGCAAATGGGAAAAAAAAAATAGACTTGCTGCTTTCCCAGGTGTAAGTTAGTTACCCTAATGACTTGTCAATGCAGCTCTCTCTTTTTTTTTTTTTTTTTTTTTTGAGACACCGTTTCTCTGTGTAGCTTTGGAGCCTGTCCTGGAACTCACTTTGTAGACCGGGTTATCCTCAAACTCACAGATATCCACCTGCCTCTGCCTCCAGAGTGCTGCCCAGCTTCCTCCTTTTTTTTAATGGAGTGCTTAATGTTGTAAGATACTAATTTCTAAAAATGGTCATTAGTCTGTGATGTTTCTTTGTGATTCTTCTTCACTTCTCATTACTGATAAATTCTGTCTCTGTTGTTTCTATGTATGTGTTCATGTGTAGATGCACATGTGTGTGATAGTATGTATGTGTATGTGTGTAGAGGCCAGAGATCAACCCAGGGTGTCATTCTTCAGGAGCCATCTTTCTTGGAGACAAGCTCTCTAGTTGGTCTGGAGTAGCCGAGTAGGCTGCACTGGCTGTCCAGAAGCCCCAGGGGTGCATCTATCTGTGCCTCCCCAGCACTGGCATTACCATTGTGTGCCACGATGAGTGAGTTATTTTGTTGTTGTTTTGTTTTAATGTGGCTGCTGGGGGCTGAATTTACGTTCTCATGCTTGTGCATCCAGCATTTTACCAACAGTGGCATCTCCCCAGCCTCCAGGTAAACTCTTTAATACGTTTAATTCTTGTGACAGACAGAGGGACAAATATTAACAGAGGGATGTCAGTTTTCTTTTTGTCTTTACCAAATTGCTCTGGTTGACTCTGAAGCAGATGCTGTGGCATTGATCCCCAATTACTCAGGGGATCAATGAGACAGACCACTTCATGCAACTCTTCTGACAGTAGACATGGGGGAGGGGCACATTTCCTCCCACATAGCCTACAGAGCACACCAGACTTTCATCTGAGGAAAAGCTAACCCAATGTCCTAAGGAGAAGTGATGAAGGAATGGCCCTGGAGGGTACGTGATACCAAGAGGAATTTCTGCAGGACCCAAGCGACACTGAGTGAGGGAGCAGCATTGAGCATCTCCTGGTGAGGCATCAGGAACAGAAGCACCTCCCACATCACCTTCTGCTCCTAGACCCCCATCAAGCTAGTCACGCTGGAGTATTCTCCTACCTGCACTGTGTCCAGGATCCCCTTTTTGGCCTTTTGGTCCTGAAATTCCAGGAGCTCCTGCATTTCCTGGAGGCCCCACTTTCCCTGGAGGGCCCTGCAAGCCCCTGAGCCCTTGACCTGTTGGGAGATAAAGGTAGCATGACCTGGTGACTGTTACTCGTTCTCTTTCCTCAGATGTGTGACTGTTACTCATTCTCTTTCCTCAGATGTTTGATGTTTGATTCACATCAACTCCAGGAAATGGACAGAGAGCTAGTTATTGGTTAATCAGAGTAGACAGATCCTCCTGCCTCCCAGGAAGACAACGCCTCCTCACAAACCCCCATATGAAAGTGTGAGATTCAAGAGAACTTTTAAGCTGTTGATTGATAGTCAGTCATACTGTAAAGAGATCATTATAAAGAGAAGAAGACTTATCACAATAAAAGTCAAGTCTCTCCAAGTCTCTGAGCTTCATCCCTGGGGACACAGAACAAGGCCCCACTGGAGGTAAAGGTGTAGAAAGCCAGTGTACAATGTTTCATACCTGGTTCTCCCTTCTCCCCTTTGGGTCCATCTCTCCCATCTCTGCCACAGGCTATTACAGAGCAAGACTTCAGGGCATCCTCACAGGTTTGTGACTTTGATGAGGATATGGCCACCACACACAGGAGAAGGGCAGGGAGCGACGGAAGCAGGAGCATGGTCCTTACCTCAGAGGGGAGAAAGTCAATGAGATGATCATTTGGTTCATGGCGCTTGTTCGTAGTTATGGCACCCTGCACCCTGGGCTGAGGACAGCAGATATGAGATATATCATATCCTCTGACTCTGATCTACTGAAGGTAGATCACACCTGAGGCTACTGAAGCCAAAGTATGAGTCAGGTCAGGATTAAAACCAAGAAAGATGCAAGAGGAAGGGGGCTTGTTCTCCCAAGAGGCCCAGAGTCCCTGTGTTGAGGTGAGGCACACTTCACCTTGAGGCTCTATAGACCAAAAATTATAAACCAGCCATGCTTGTGGTGGGCTGGCAGAAATGTAGAATGCTCAGAACCCAAGAGACCCTAGATCTATGTTTCTTGTCTCCCCTTCTATTTCACAGGAGGCCCAGTCCCCCACTTTTCCCCTTCCCTATTTATCCTCAAACTAGACTGTAGAGAAGGGCCCAGAATGTCTGTTTCTCAGCCAGATGTCACTTATATTTCAAATAAAAATGCCTACTTTACATGCTTAGACCTCACCCACTCTCAAATGTGTGGTTATTTTCCCAACATCTAGTTGGCATCATGTACCAAGTCTCTGTTTTGTGACAGGCATTTGCTGGAGATGGACCACGCTCAAACTGGAGCCTTCTCCAGTCATGGATCCTTTACACAGGAGACTTCTCTTGCTTGAAATCCCACCAGAAGGCCATTTCTGCTAGGGGAAGCTCAGGCTCCTTCAATGCCTACTACTCACACAGGCCTGGAGAGTGCCCCCACATGATTCTCCCAGCAGAACTCTCTGTGCTGTCCGGGTCCTGCTCTGAGCCACTGGCCTCTCAGGGCTGTCCTCTGTTTTGTCCCAGCCTCTAATCCCAGTGTCCTGGCTGAACAACTGTGGCACCTGCCTTTCCTTAACCTGCTCTGTCGCTTCCCTCAACTTTTGCATTCTCCAGCACACAGCAAGAGGTGACCAGTGTGAAGACATCTCCCATGATCACAGCCTCCTCCATCTTTTCCCTTTCTAGATATTGTTCTTATTTTTAAAAGTCCTCTAATCCCACTGGAGACCCCTGTGGTCACACGTGGGTTGTACATATGGTGCCACCACCACTCTTTTCACTTCTATTGTTCCTTTAGGAAAGGATTGTCCTCTGGTTTGCGTATGGTCATGGAGATCTAGGAAGGGCACAGAGAGCCCAGATCAGAGAGAGATACGGGCCTAAATGGGCCCATTGACCCCACTAGACCCTTGCCTGGACCTTACAAGGTTCAAGCTGAGAGGCCAGACTCCAAACCCAGGACCACACCACCTTCATCCTGAAATGACTTACCAACGTTTTCTTTAGAGTGAAGGGGTAGCAGAAGGGAAACTTACTCTCCAGTCCAACTTCTGGAAGCTGCCTCCTCAGTGCTAAGGCCTATTAGCCTGGTGACCAGGGACTAAGCTGGACTAGCCTTCAACCCCAGATTAATGAGCAACTATCCTTGGAGATGTTGTAACTGGGTAGCTGTCCAGAGCTGCTGCTGCTAGTATCTCAGTTCAATACTGTGTAGCTCAATGTCTTAATACGCTAAAATCTTCCTATCACTGTGCTCCCTCCCAGATCTCCATCTATACAGCTGAGATACTCTGATCCTCTAGAACCATGGGCTCTTGACACGGATTCATTAAGATATTTTTTCCATAAGAAACACTCATAAATGTACTAGACAAACATTCTCAGGCAGGTGCACACAGGTATGGATGGATGTGCACAGGAGCCCAAACTCTTGTCAGTTGCTATGACTAGTTTACCCCTCTGCTTTTTCTTCAGTTATTGTAGGACTAGATGAGGTCCTGCATCACCTCCCTTCTCCTGCTTCATTCAGAACATGTGTTAAATGTCTCCTTCAGGCATGTTCCAGACCTAGGCACAAGAGGAAAGGAATAAGGTTTTTAAAGATTTATTTTTACTTTTACAAAGTATGGATACTTTGCCTTTGTGTATGTGTATGTACCTGTGCATGACTGGTCCTGAGGAGGCCAGGAGAGGGCGTCAGATAACTTGAAAGTGGAGTTACCGACAATTGTGCTAGTGGGCACTAGAAACCAAACCTAAGCCCTCTGCGGGAGCAACAAGTGAGCCACCTCTCCAGCCACATGAGAAGAAATGTGTGTAGATAACAAGTTCAAAGCTGAATGTGGCCAGCAACACAGCTGTCCACTCTGCCCAGGCATTCCTTCTGTCTTTAAGTGTTGGTTGCTATTTGGATTTCAGCTGAGATAGCTCAGGATAAGGGGCTTTCCTAACCACTCAATTTTGAGTAGCTTCTATGTTGCTAAATTTTAATTCTCTGATTTTATTGTATGCCTATTATTTGTCCATATGTGAAATTGTTTATTTGGTTGCCTATTTATTGACCACCCCATATCTCAGTTGTTGTTGTTATTGCTATTTGTTTGCTTGCTTGTTTGTTTTTGAGACAAGATCTCTATATAGTCCTGGCTATACTAGAGTTCACTGTGCAGACCAGGCTTGCCTTGAACTCTCTGAAATCATCTTCTCTCTGCCTGCCCAATGCCTTTTAAATGATCATGAATGAATTGGAGTTTCGTTCTCTTGATGCTGTGTTTCTGAGAAGGAAGGACCAACCTCTCCCTGAGGCATGGGGCAGAAGGCAAACATTGTTACAGCACTGTAAATACTGTTAAGGTTATAAGCACCACCTTTAATGTTTGTTTTCATTTTAAATAAGCTAAGACATTGGGGAGTAGGATTACTTGATTCCCTACTTGGCAGACCTTCCCCTCCTGTGGTTGTTCCCTAAGCTAAGGACTATAAGACAAATGCCCAGAAGAAGTTGCATGACACCAGCTTCTTTGAACACTATACTTGGGGAAGTGACATTGCAACCACAGCTGACTGCTGCTGAACCACAGATCTGGCTCTCAAGGCATGGTGTACAGCTGCTTCAAATAGCTTACAGTGGCCCTTTTTCCTATAAGTCTTGGTGATACCCTATAACCAATTCTACTCAGGCTAGATGGGGACCCCTTTCCATGATGACCCAGGAGAAGGCCTGTGCTAATGCAAATAGTCTTTCATTTATATTAAGGACCATTGTGTTGGAATAAATGTAACCCCTTATCTGTATGAGGGATTGTGCTGATTGCTGCAAACCACATGTTTCATTTGTGTGAAGAACTGTTGTTGTGGTCTGGAGAGATGGCTCAGTATTTAAGAGCACTGGCTGCTCTTCCACAGGTCCTGAGTTCAATTCCCAGCAACCACATGGTAGGTCACAACCATCTGTAATGAGATCTGATGCCCTCTTCTGTTGTACATGAAGACAGGTCACTCATATACATAAAATAAATATTTTTTTTAAAAAAAACTGTTGTGTTGGTACAAGCACACCATTTTGACCATTTAAGCCTGATGTGGGAGCCAACTGGAAAGCACTCTCCTTCATTGCTTCCCCAATAATGGCTTTAATCCAATGCTCTTTTCTTGCCTACTCTTCGTTTTTATCATGAATTACTACAGTGTGCTGAGCTGGGAACACAAAGGCTGAAGGTGAGGACACGGATGAAGGAAGCAGCAGCTGCCAACATTGGCAGCAGCGCTGTGCTAGCAGCGAGACTGATGAGAGGCAACAGAAGCCATCCAGAGAGGGGCTAGGGCAGAGAGGACTGGGAGCAGAGACAACTAGGTCTGTGAAGAGCTGCAGATGAGCAGCTGGAGGCCCTGGTCATTGGGAAGGTATCAATGAATGACTAAGCCTTCATGGCCAAGGGTCTCAGACACTCTAGATCTAAGAACTATAACACTAGCTGCTGTCAAGGGCTCAGGGTCCTGATTACTAGGCCTGTATGTTGTTATAGGGCCTGTATGAGCACTATAATATGAAAAGATCCAACCTACTGCTGCCTGCTGCTACCTGCTGTAGCCACTCAATGCTGCTAGGAGCCACGAATTGACAATAGCCGGTAAGTGCTGGGGCCCCTGATGGTTAAAACCCATAGTGATAAGCCTCCCATCTAAGTGCCCACTAAGTCTCTTGCTTCTAGAGCCTACAGTAACAGCCTCCTGCCCTTCAGGGATTAGAGTCATAAGACTCTGGTCTGCCAGTCTATATGCTAGTTCTTGAGTGCTAAGGACTGAGAATTGTCAGCACTGAAAGGGCTTTATCCTGTCTGCCCACAGTCCCCACCCAGGTGAAATAAGAGGACCCCAGCCATTGGTAATCTGCCTACCTGGCAGAGTGCCCCCTAACTGTCAATGACCAAGGAAGATCTGTGAAACAGATGAACCCTCAGCAGCATGTCCTTGGACCAGCCCTTGTGACTTCACTGGCAGAACTGACATCTGGGCTAGCTTCACCAGTGTTGATACTTCTTTGGGGCAGGAATTACATACAGTTCACTTGTTGTCCCCTGAGTATAACCCAGGCCTGGGCACCTAAGAAGGACCCAGTAAGGTAAAAAGCTTGGCAGCTAACAGACTAGGCCGAGGCTCCTTAAGCTTGGGTTTCTAGAGTATCCAGTGCTTGCAGTCAGAGGCTGATCAGGTGGCCTGAGCCCCTGACATGACCTTTCATGCCTAACTTTCTCCAAGTTCACAGACACTCATTGAAACCTTTTATCTTACCAAACAACCTGAGAGGTTTGTTTTCCCCATAACAGTGTGGGCCCAGGTTACTTCCCATGACTCTATGGTTGGTATTTTGGCTACTCAAGGGCCATCAGTCCATGTTTACACAAGACACCATGTCACCTCTCTAATCTTATTAGAAGCAACCTGACAGGTATCTAGAAGGGCCTCCATTGTTAAGAAGACACCTTTCATGGCTGTGTGTGTGTGTGTGTTTGTTTTTTTTTTACTGTCGGTACAACTTCTGGTCCCATAGGCTGAGAAAGCAACTGGCATTTACTGAATACAACAAATGAGATCACTCCCAAAAGTGAGGGTTTAAAACTTAAAAGTTTACATAAAACCCACTCTAAATACACTACAGACTCATAAAAGGGTGGTTTAAGTGGGGGAGAGAAGAGTATGTGAGCAAAGAAGCAGTAAGAAGAAGATCTTGACCTGGCCTGGTGTAGTAGCACATGCTGGAGACCACTGTGCTTAGCAGACTGAGATAGGAGGCCATCCTGGCCTATAGAGAGAGTTTCCAGCCTGCCTTGGTTGCATACTAAGACTCTACGCCAAAACAAAGGAGAGAAAAAGGAAAAATGACTATATTAATGAAAAAAAAATAAAATACTAATTAAAATATAAAATGTTTATATAAATAAATAGTGGGCAGACATGACAACGGTAGTTTGAATTCTTGTTTTCATACTTTTGCTTCTTATTATAGAATTTTATTTCCAGGTTCTTTGCTAAAGTACATTACTAAGAGGTCCACTTGAGCCCCAGGAATAAATATTCAGCCCTTTTGATGTTTGACTTGGCTTTATGACTTACCAAATTGGAAGGAAGTAGCAGCATCAAGGGTGCTCATATAAGGAGGCCTATTATGTGACCTATTATGTTTCTTTCCCAGCCCTAGAAAGAATATGTTAGTGGTGGCCACTACTAGCAGGGTAATTGCATGAACAGAATAAATGCAAACTCACCTACACATCCTGGGCCCAGCCTATGCAGTTGAATCCAGGCAAGTTCAACCAATATTTTTAGAGCTCAACACATGGAAAAAAAACAGTATAAGAGAGAAAAATGAGTGCTGTTGTGGGCATCTGAAATGGTGACTTCTTTTATCAACTAATTGACACATTACCAATGACTATAGAAACAGTATAATAAATAGACAAGTCAAGAAAGAAATGGAATATTAAGCTGATATAAGTACAATTGACAATACAAATTTATGTTATGTTCAATGGACTTTATAGCAATTTGGAAATCATATAAAATTTGTATTAGAAGTCAATTTAAAATTATTTAAGTTAGCCTAAGGAATGTTAGAATAACTGATATGTTATTAATCATAAAGTATTGAAATAGACATAAAAGTCACTATCTTACCTATCAAGAAGTACAGTTTTTAAGATGAATTTTATCAAATCTTTTGAGATTATTTTCTCTCGTGTAAATGATTGGAATTGAATTTTTAAAAAACTGACCATATTTGCCAGAAGACCAGGTAGGCCAGCCACCCATGGACCATCCCCCACTCTCTCCATTCCCTGAGACAGACTCCCTGTGCCCAACCACAGGTTTTGCCTGCCAGAAAACCAGCCCCCAACTCTGGCAAACACCCCTTGCCCAAATACAGGTCATGCTGCCCATCCATGGACTTCCTCCACTCACTCAATGCCCCACTCTAACAATGTCCCCAGTTCCCGCCCCCTCCCCATTGCCATATCTCAGCCCTCAACTCAGGCAGAGACTCCCTTCTGGATCAGAGGCCACACCAGCCACCAGAACTCCAGGTAGACCAAGTAGACTTCTTCCACTCTACTGGTATCCCCCAAACACTATCCCCAATAACCCC